TTCTGAATCTTCCAATAAATACAGCATAATAATAAACTCCTGAAATAAATTAGGAAACATGAGACATGCTCAAATGTCATGGAAAGCCAAAGGTGCAAGTTGTTTACATAAATCAGAAATGACATCTTAGCTTCTATGATGTAATGTTTTTATACAAGCCTGTTAGACTTAAGCAGTTGTGATGGTGCCAAGTGTTTGGAAGGTGATGAAATTGATTGAAACTGGCCAAGAAACCAATTACAGCTCTAATCCTGATGTTTTAATACCGTCTTCCAATATATGAAGACAGAAAAAAATTTTAAAAGTGCTTTAGTGAGACTGCATAGTTAAGCCATCAGTGGTTAGAAAATCCCAGAATGAAGCACACTTGAATAACCTTAAATTGGACACTTTGTTTAGATTATGATATAGTCCTTAACTGCATGATTACATACTAATTTTTCCACATAATTCTGACTTGTTCAGCATACATAATGAATAGTGCATACATAATGAACTATTTTTCTTGTAGCAGCTATTTGCTGCTGTTCAGTGTGCGGTCTCAGGACTTATTTGCTACGCATTATTCACWTTCTTCTCTGAAGACAAAATTATGAATTTCATCACGGGTTTTTCCATGTACCTCATGGGTTTTCCAGGCTACTACAGTGCCTGTCTGATTAACAAACATTCATTAGTTTCTTTTGAAAACATTGCTGTGAGGGGAGGCAGCAATATGTTTYCATTTTACACATGGAAAACTGAGGCACAGGAAAGTTATTTAAAGTGGTTATGTTCTCTCCTCTCACTGAAGTCCACAGCAGCCACTGACTCTCAATACCCCAWGGAACCCCTCTTTGCTGGCAAACAAACGAGAATTTGGCATTCTGGGCTCATGTGTGCCTTTGGAAGTTGTCACGCACTGGTACACACTRACCCTTCTCTGGTCACACCAATGCATGGCCTCTTCTGTCCTGTTCCATGGGCTTGGTCCTGTCCCACTTCCTTCTTCTTCCCCAGTCACATTTCAAAAGTTGTGAATCTGCATTCCTAAGGCTGTCCTTTCAGCCCCAGTCTCTCTGCTCAGTAAGTCTTAGTTCCATTCCTTTACTCCTGAGCTCTGTAATCCAAACAGCCCAGTGAACCCCCTCTTGCACTTTTTGTCTCTTTGCACAGTCTTCAGGTTTACTCTTCACAGGTTCCCAATCCTCATTCTTCACATAAATCTAATCAGGGTGAATATCCCCTCACCTTTCCGCCCACCCCAGTTTTACTTCCCTGAGCATGATGCCTGAACTTGGACTGCCTTCCTTGCTCCTTTGTCTTCTTTTCCCATTCTCATTCACGGTTATTTTGTCTCCTTCTGCCTTCCCATTTAACATAATCCCCAGTTTATAAATCTTTCCTTTTCTTCCACCCTTGACCAGCCACTGCCTCATGTCTGTTAGCAGCTTCAGGGGCAGTTTTCTTGCCTGACTCCCTCCATGTGCATCTCCCAAGGTTCAACATCCTCTTTGAAGGTTTRTTTCTCGGCTCTTCTCCTTTCTGCATTTTGACAGGTGTTGTTTTGATAGGTGTCTTCTGCTTTCCCTCCCTGTGTGCCAATGTAAGAGCACAGGGAGTGGATGACGGCGTCACCGCTGTCACCCTGGCGGGACCGAGCAGCCAAAGTGCATCATCTGCAGGGGGAGCACGGCACAGCCACACAGCAGCTTCGGSAAATTCTGCTGCTCACGTCCACCACTGTTCTACCAAGCCCATGAAAAGCCTGGTTTTTTTCCAAGGCTCGTGTTTTTCTGACATCAGCTATATTTTGATAAAATTGGCRTGCTGATGACTCAAAGGACATCCATCCATCTACTAAAGATTTAATCTCCAGGTAAGGCTAATACAAATATTATGAAAAGGTCACCAGAATGTTTGGCACAGATTAAACATTCATTTCTGACCTAAGTTTACAGAAATATGGCTACAGTGTTCAAATTTGGCAAAGGAAAATAACAAATGCTATACTTCTTCCTATACAAAGAGTGAGTTCAGGACAATTCTAAGGAACTACAAGTACACCAGACTATTACACTGAGCTAAGCAATTAGACCCATGTAAAAAAACAAGAACAAATAATGCAAGATGCTTTGGTAAATAACAGAGGATGCTGAAAATAACAGCTYGTAATTGGCTTTATAATGTTATATTCACTTTGAACCAAATCTTATCAGGAGTTTTTATCTAAAAAATATTTCCAAAGTGCATACATTTATTATCTCTTATTTAACATCTGTAAGCTTTTAAAGTGCTTTGAATCATTACGAGAGGTGACAATTCTTGCCTCTGAAAGAATTGAAAAAACAACACTGAAAAAACCCAGAAAAAATAAAAATAGATGAACTGTCATATTATTAATTGCTCACTTCAGCTCCTAGATTTGTGGCTCCTGTCTGTACCTCCACAGAAGCTATAACCCAGTTTTCTGAACACAAAATATCTCAATATTAATCCTTTCATCTTAGAAAACAAGAAAAATATTTTGCTACCTACATAAATTTTCAACTATTGCTTATGTTTTTACTGCAGCATTGCTTGTAATTCCAACTAAGTGTGTTGMAGAATTTTTCATCTTTGGATGTATAATGTTATGATTTCACTGGCTGTCTTTACGGTTACTACAGCTTAAAGACCAAAGACATTTTCAGAATAGGAAAATCTAGCATATTTATAATTGACTATGTGTAATACATTGCTATTTATCACAAAACTTCGATTAACCTCAGTGATATCAGTCGCCTTAAGAACTTCCCCTTTTTCCAACAAAGATACCCTAAAATAAATTGCAAGTATTTATAACATAAACATTCCCAAGTACACACTTAGGGATCTAAACGTATTAACTATACATTTGTATGCTTATCTAAAAGATGAATGCCTTCACCTTTGCTTCCTTTTGTGTTCCCATTAAAACAAGCTTTTTGATGCATAAGTGCCACCTGTAGGAAATACTGGAGTATGCTCAAGTGCAGCCCGGTGCCAACTGAGGCACTGAGTTGTCTCTCTCCCATCCCCAAAGGAGGCACCTCCTTTGGAAATTCAATATATTGAGGAAACAACGACTCTGCTTGATGGCAGCTTGCTTGATGAAGGTTAGATTGTAAAGCCACATCTACAGRAAAGTTGCTATTTTCCAGTGAAGCTTAATTAAAAAGGAACTGAAATGAAAAACACTACATTTTTCCATTTGCTTGTCTGCATGACAGCATTCCACAGGCAACAATCAGTCCTTCACTACAGCACATTGAACCAAATTGAGTTTGTGCCATGATTAACATGGAGTACTTCACTACTATTACTTAGGCTACAYAAATATGAAAGACTGCATAATTTATTTATTTTTATTTTTATCTACTATTAATGAAAAGGAATAGTTGTGAGAAAGTGTTTTAACAAAAAACCAGTCTAACCTCCACTACTATAAACATAGCTCAGTTTCCTGTTGCAATGAATAAGGCATGAATAGATGGAAGTGCAAATATTGTAATTCAAACATAAAAGGAAAAAATTAAAGTATTTCTAMTGTAGCTATAAAAATAATAACTAAGACTTTTCAATGCCTTGTCATTTGCTTTAATACTACAAGAAAAATAAAAAAAAACTTACAAAAATTCAGTTTTTTAAATGTTAGAGTCTGCCTAGGTCAAAAAAGTGAAATATTTAATCACAATTTGTAAAACATAACAGAGAAAAATGGTCTGACTCCCACTGTAGCCAGCACCTTTAACAGTTATGCTCCAAAAATACATTCACAAGGCAATAGTTTCATTAATTCAACTGTACCAATCACTGATACAGAATCTCCTTCCCCTGGTAAATTTACTAGCTAACATTAATTCCATACCCAAAGCACATTTTGCATCCAAAAATGAGAAGTTATTTTTAATAATTCGATGTGATGTGACAAGATAGGAATCATCTGGTGTATGAGCACAGATTATATGCCACTCTACGAGAAAATATTTTTTCATTGTTTGACAGTCAGTGACTCCATTTAGTTTTGTCAGTCACAGCTGTGTACAAACGACATGTCTCTCCTCTCCCCTCGTCAGCCTTCAGTGTCGCTTCGAGCACGTACACTTGTTTTGGCTGTCCTAATCATCACCTGACATTTATCTGCGCGCTTCAACACAGACAACCTTTAACATCCGCAGCTCCAACTGTGAAACCAAACTTCATCTGCCTGCCGGGACACGGCCGGGCGGATGGACGGGCGGGGGACYGAGCGCGGCTGTCCCCAGGGCACTGCGGTCTCCCGCGGCAGGCGCGGCGCGGCGGGAGCGCGGCGGGGAACGCGGCTCGGTGCAGGGCTCGGCGCAGGGCTCGGTGCAGGGCTCGGTGCACCCGGGCCCGCCGGCGCGGTGCTGTCCGCGGTGCTGAACCGYCTCCCTCTCCGTCTGCCCCCGAGCCCCATCTTGAGAGCCCCAGGCTCGGTCCCCTCGCCGCCTCATGGCTCTCACGAGCGACCGGCAACAAGTCCGACCGCTTGCCCACGCCAGCCGGCAYATCCSCCCGTGGATTTGAAACACGGGAATTGCCCTGTAATACAAAGGACTTTGGACACCGCGGGCAACAAAACCCCACCAGGGCCACTACCCCATCCCCRGCTCCAGACTCTCCGCAGCGCGGGYTGTAGCTCCCGTCGCCGCCTCTCCCAGAACAAGCCCCAGCGTCCATTCCTGGCAGGGGCAGGGTTGTGCAGCAGGCTTGCCCGGGGTAATCGCACTGCAACGCCAGGCACGGCWTAGGGAGCGGCGGTTTTCCCTCCCTTCCCTCCAGCAAGGTGCAACATTCTCTCCTTTTGTTCTCAACGGTAGAAGGGTGGCGGCGGCGGGAAGGGTGGGGAGCACTTGCACCTACAAAATCATGGGGGATAACAAAGGACCATACGCCGCGCGGATTAATTTGCATTAGCATCCATGAGGGCAGCAGCATCTTACGTCTGCGGGGATTAGCCGCGCCGAGCTCGGGCTTACCGTCCCTATCGCAGAGCTGAATCGCCTCCAGGCTCAGGTTCTTGATCACCTCCTCGCAGGGGCTCGTGGGGCTGCTCATGGTGTGCGCTAGGCGCGGAGCCTCCATCGCGCCCCTCGCCGCTGCCTGCTGTGGCTTGGCCGGGCGCTGGGGCTGGGGCTGGCCGGCTCCGCTCAAGAGCCGCGCGGCAGCGCTTCCCGGCGCCGCCCGGCTCGGCTGGGAGCGCTCGACGGAGGAGGCGGGCGGGGAGCGGATTTGTCACCGCAGCGAGCCGGGGAGGGGGCAGCAGCGAGGCGGGTGCCCGGCGCGCCCCGGGATGCGCGTTTAAAGGGGCCGCGGCCGCCGCCTCGGAGCCGTCCCTTCCCCCTCCGCTCCTTATGTAACGGCGGCCGCGCCTCCACGGAAGCTCGCGGGGAGTCCAASCCCTCCGGGTTAGGCCCTGCGAACGGCAGGTCCGGGTTCCAGCCGGCCTGCCTCGAGCACAGCTGCCCGCGACCACGGCGTGGTTTGTTTCGGGGGTACTCTGTAACCCGACAGAGGCACCCGAGGCAAAACCATTTCCAAGCCACGGTTAGCGATTTCCCCTTCCGTGAGTGCACAGCCCACCGTGAGTGCTCTATGCAATCGCACCCAATTGCAAGGGCTGTGCCATCCACTTTCATCCTTCGATTATGCAAGAATTTGCAGAAAGAAATGTTAGCTGGCTTTAGATTGATAAACCTAGAAAAGCTGGAAGAAGGTTATTGATTGCAAGAGAAGGTATGGGAGTGAACCATTTCTGCTCTGCACACTTCCCACCTGCCCTTTTTGTGGGAAAGAGAAATAATCCACATGGCAGTAGTGCCATTCCTATCAAGCTTTTTTGAAAAATGCTTATTTATCAGTTCCTAGTTTCAGGAACAAAAACAGGGCCAGAAAAGRAGAAAATTCAAAGAGTAATAGGATAATAAATTAAACTTGTGTAGCACTGCACCATCATCAGGTGTGACAGCTCAGCTCCCTCCCACCACAGGAYGGACAAAGGAGCAGGCCCTGGGTCTCCCGGGCTGCAAGAGTGCAGTGCTTTCTCCAGATCTTGGAGACCGTGACTCTGGGATCAAGCTCACCATGCTGGGATGGGATCACAAATCTCCAGACAAAGTGTTTTGAGCCCATTTCCTACCACACATTACAAYAAGCATTCCTAGCACCAGTTTGTTGTTTCACCAAACCAAAACTGACACCATTTAGCCATTGATCTTGAGACACCAGCACTGGCTGCTTAGAGAAACAGCAAGTTCATTGCACAAAGGCTCCCACTAAGATTGAGGCTGTAATGTTTCTTGGTCAGCATTACATCACAAAGTCCAAAGAGTCCCTAAAGCTCCTATTTCTCTTTCTGCAATCCCAAGACCACCCAGTGTCCTCTCAGTCCTCACTCATCTGGCACATAGCAAGCCCCATGCACAACTAGGTGTCTGTCATTGCACTGCCCCTGGACTCCTGGATCCTTCCATTCCTTTTGATAGTTTCTGGGACACCAGTCTCAGAAAATGAGCTCTGGTGTTACTTTTCACAAAGCCACTGCCAAGTGCAGCAGCCTGGAAGCAAGGAATAGGTTTAAGGATCCTAGACTCCTCTGACACCTTCAAAAATCTGCAGTACATTCTGGGGAGAAAGTGCAGTGCTGAACACCTTTCCAGCACTGTGTGCTCTACACACACACACACACACACACACACACACACACACTTTCTTGTTCATCTTTTATTTTTTTCCTGCTCTTTGTTTCTCTGATGTTTTTCATCAGGATGGAAAACGTATGCAGAGGGGTCAGACAGAGGAGAAATGGAATGAGTGGGAAGGGAACCTAAAGGAAGAGAAAATGAAAAGGAAGTAATAACAGGAAAGGAGCRTATGAGTCAATGGGGAGGTGGGAAGGGAGAGGAATATATGAATGAATGCACAGACAGAACGAGGACAAATATAGAATCAGAGAGGGAAGAAATGAAAGTGGGTGAGACGGCATTCATCAGGTTTTAATTTTGTCTCTGACAAGCATTAATTCCCTGCACTGAAGCAAAACCTTTCTCCTTGATATTGCAACTGTGCTTAGCACACAGTCATCTCCTACGTAAGGCTGGAAAATTTCTTTCCCTGAAGACGGTGTATTTAGTTTCTCGGCCTTATGTTCCACATTCATTCCCTTTCACAATGTGGCAGACACTTCAGCAGCTCACACAATCTTGTTACTTCTTTGCTATAACATTACATAAAGTCCATTTGAAACAGACACTGYTCTTGAATACTGAGAGAATTTCCCATTTTATTCTCTGTGCCTCTATTTTATACACCTTTCTCTCCTCTACTTYTTATTCTATGCAACTGAAATCAGGTTTTTAAGAAGGGATGGATTTTAAATAGCTCTTTGAAAGCAGACAGCTTTGGGGATGTTCCCATTCCTCAAAGGCCTCTCATTTCTCAGCTACCTTGTAGCAATAACCAGAGGCTGAGCTATCTCTATTTCTTTCCCCATACCATTAACTGGTTTTTTTTTTTTTTAAAGAAAAGACTGATTAACTSTCCAAATACTGGCAGACTTCAGTGTAAATTAGAGCAGATAAACCTTTCCCATAGCTCCACTTTTCTAAYGCTGGACCTGCCTGAGACAGTATTTTGCAGAGTCACACTTCAGACTCCATGCTTCCTTCAGCCTATTGCTACTCCCACTACACCTGGACTATGGATCAACAATTTTTAAAGCTCAAATTACTCCCAGTGAGTCCATGCAATCACTTGACAATGAATTTAGTCCTAGGTATTTAATCTCAGAGCACACAGTGTTTTTCCTACTTGAGGGAACTATACTCTGCTTGTCTTAACAAGCAATAGCATTGTCTGAGGCACAAGTTATRTTTGCGCTACAGGGTGACAGAGTCTCAGCATATAATCAGAAARTTTATTCTGTGACAGATTATCCCTGACAGTGTTTAGTGAAAAATGYCACATATCACAAATATGGGTCAACATTATGTAATGGAAAGTCTGCCAATGGCAGCACAATGTTAGAGACAGCAGAGGGTCATGTGTTTAGAACTGCAAAAGCTTGCAAAGAATTTGCCACAACAGCAACCTTTCAGACTTCCAACATTTAGATAAATAGAATCTTACCAACTTCTGTAGTTTGACAACAATGCGTCTGTTATTACAGTAACCTCACACAGGGAGAGAGAAGCAGCATTTCCTAGCGTGATGCACGTACCAGGAAACGTGAGCWGCGACACACAGCCCTTGCCTGGCAAGGTTCAACAATCTCAGCTCTCCTGCCTCAGCCTGGCACTYACAGTCCCCCAGGTAGGTCAGCAAGATCTTGCTGCAGGGCTACCACTCCACTGCAGAAAGGCAGAGAGGCTGCCAGCCAGCTAGAGAGGTGTGTGGCTTCTTTACTAAAAAACACAACCTCATTCAAGCCAGAAAGCAAGAGGAAAAGGGGCTGTRTATTCCTTTCCCCACCACAAATACCCCACATCCCCTCCACAAGGACAAAGTTCTGTGCCACCTGTGTTGCAGTTTTGAGAAACCTGCTGTGTATTAGCAGCAGARCACAGCACAGAGCTGGGCAACCACATTCTCACTATCTGAAAACTCTTTTGTATTTTACTGTAGCAGGTTTTTATCTGCAAGTTATAAAAGAAACCCCCTTTCTCAGACCTCAGCAAGACTCAGAGTTCCAACTCTGCCTTCCCACTTGGGAATAAAAACAGACCTGTGTTATTGCTCAGTGGACTGTGCAAGCAAAAGGCAAAAAAGATACAGACATCGTTTTCAGGAATGAAAAGCCAGGGAGGAATTAAAGACAGCATTTTGGGTTTTTCCCCCCTCCTATTAATATGTCTCTTTTGAGGAGAAAAGCAAAATATTAACAGACAGATAAACAGAAGGGTCAAAAACAGTCMTAAAAGGTGCACTGAATAAACTTAGCAACTAGTCCCTGGAGTTTCATATAAATAAATYCTTAGCAATTTTGCAGTCACTCTCTGTCTTTAATGGACATGTCAAGTGTTTCAAGCAYGTGAAGGCACATACTTGAAAAAGATCGTGTGCAAAGTATTCCTAAAATACCATAAGACTGAAGTAAAATCCACAGACCAGTGACAGAAACACAAAATCCCCAAAGCTGAAGACCCAAAGTGAAAGGCGTGACTCTGTAGATTTAATGTACAGTGTGACACAGCTTCCTTTGCTAACAGAGACAGACACTGATGTATGACAATTCAGAGCACTAGGCACAGAATCCAACCAGTAACCTCTTTGTTTTTTTGCAGACAGCAAAGCAAGAGCTTCCTCAAACGCTCAGACAAGGATGATGATGACAGAGGTCCCCTTGTATTCTCTAGGAAAAGCCAAGGTASAGCAGCAGTGTTTATTCTTAGCTCTAGAGTGAGTCTCTCTCCCTCTTTCTGCCAAGTAGCACCCATGGCCAGACATCCTGACACCAAATCCAGCAGTGAGGCTACASCTCTCCTGGAAATGTCTCTGCCTGCTGTTTTGTCCTTTGGTGTTGTTTGAGATGCTGGGAAACCCCAAATTTCTGGGAACTCTTCAGTGAGGTGCGTGCAGTAGCTCATAGATCTCAAAATGACTCTCCATCCATGTTCAGAAAGCTTCATTTCAGCAATTGGATTCAGCACATGCATTCAGGCTCCTCTTGCTAGGCCATAAAGCTAGGCCATAAAGCATACTTTAAAACAGCAAAGATGCAATTCTGAGGTAATCTTGTGACTTGTCGTGCCAGGGAACCTACTCACGAATCTGGARGAATGGCTTCAGTGTAGGGAAATCTAGTCTGCTCCTCAGATAAAAAGACAATCAGTCTGTGGAAAAGGCAACCAAGGGCATATGAGAGAGCCACTAAAGCACGAGTAGCACAAACAGGGTAGCCAAAATCTGACTCTGCCAAGTATCCCAATACAGGAATTAGAGGRTGTCAATAGCAGTTAATAGCAACAGCTTCAGAGCAAACAAAAGGAGGTGGTACTTCCTGCAATGGCTGGTACAATTGTAAGACCAAAGAGAGTGCCAGTGATAGAAATTTTTGTTCATCCAAGGGAAGACCGGAAAAGTTCATACAAAAGGAATCCTTTAGAGCTACAGAAACCACAAGTGACTCGGAGTCCCTAAGCTGAAAGCTAATAGGGTCCAGGGAAGAGTTASTGAACACGGTTATACGTGCTTGTCATGCCATTTATCTTCGCTAAACATCCATTTTCA